GGAATAATATTAAAGTGCCTTCTTGGGGCATTAGACAATCAGGTTGAAGTTTCCTTTAAAAACTTTGTTTAGTATGCAACATATACTTCACTGACTCATGTCCCTAGTCCTAAAGAGTGTTATCCCACTCACTTTTGGAACTCCTACCCTAAGGCTCAGTCCAATTGATTGGTGACTGAGTGCAAACTAGCCCACTTAGCCCACTCCATCCCCTGAATGGCGGCAGATCAGGTACCAGACCATGTTTCATCTCTACATTCCATCTAGCCACCATCTTGCCATCTGCTTGCCCCTGCTGAGGCACTCCTCCCACCCTCACTCCTCACTTATCCATCCCTTGTTCTCACAGCAATTAAAACAAGAGTACCATTACTTTGGAGGGATAGCTACATAGCACAATAGATAGAGCACTGGGCTTAGAATCAGGAAGACTCATCTTCATGAGTTCAAATCTGGCCTCAGACACTTACTAGCTGGGCAAGTCACTTAACACTGTTTTCCTCAGTTTCTCATCTGTAAAATGAATTGGAGAAGGAAATAACAAACCACTCCAGTATTTTTGCCAAGAAAACCCCAAATGGGGTCACAAAGAGTTGGACATGATTGAACAACAACTGTTTCTTTTGGAAAGAGATTATCTATTCCTTGACCTTCACCTTCCTATAAGCTTTGTGTTCCCTTATTAGACTATAAGCTCTTTGAGGGCAAGAGATATTTTTTTATTTTAAAAATTGTATGTCCAGTGCTTCGCCCGGTGCCTGGCACATAGTAAACACTTAATATATGCTTTTTATGAATTCATTGATATAGAACATAGGTGTACATAACTCAAAATGAAACCTAGTAGAATGTAAGCTCCTTGAGGGCAGGGACTTTTTTTTTTTGTCTTTGCAAGGGATTTCCAAGAGACTGCAGATCCTTTGGCATATTAGAGCGTAGCCCAATTCTTAGCATAATGCCTTCCTCATGCTATGCCTTTATTAAATTCTTGTTGAATTGAACTGCATTGATGAAGAGAAAGATGAATGACTCTCAGATACACACACATACACACAAACACACTCCATCTGAATAATTCATATGACAGAGGTAGCTATTTTGCTAGCCTAAATAGATAATTTTGGCATAAGAGTTCAGATTTTTTCCCCCCAACCCTCCAGTTATTTCTATACCAGCAATTATATAGACTCGGTCTGTTAGTACTGAATAAATATTTTGTTAAACGAGCTCAAACACGGAGGGCAGCATAATGAATTTAGTTACTATTTAATAAGCTTTCAAAACATAGATTAGGAGAATGATCAGTTTATTTTTTAAAAGTTCCCTCACTTTTATTGTATCATCTATATTTACACAATGCCAAACAGAAATAAGTCACTTATCTAGATTGTTTCAAATATCTAATTGATTGGTGTCATGGAGATGGTTGGTAATGGACACAGCTGCCAAAATAATCTTTGTAGAACACAAGTTTGATTATGTCACTCCACTTTATGAGAAACATCAATGGCTCCCTATTGCTGTTAGGGTAAAATGCAAATTTTTCATTGTGACCTTTAAAACCCCTCACAATCTGACTCCAGTCTACTTTTCTTGGTTCATTTCTCATTCTACCCTCCACCAGCTCTACTTTCTATTAAAACTGTCTACCCCATATTGATCATACCATCTCTCACCTCCAGGCTTTTGTACAGTTGTTCTCCATACCTCCAACTCCCTCTTCATCTCTTCCTTTTAGGATTACAAGCTTCCTTCAAGTTTTAGTTGCTCAAAGGAACTAAACCTTTAGTTCCCTAGTTTTCTTAGTTTCCTAAGGAAAGCCTTCCCCAATTCCTTTAGTCGTTTATGCCCCACTCCTTTAGATTAACACATACATGCCTACCCTTTTATATGCTCTATCACCCCTTCTAGAATATAAGCTTCTTGAGGGCAGGAGCTGTTTTTCATTTTTGTCTTTATATCCCCAGTGCCTTGTACAATGTCCTGCACATAGTAAGCACTTAATAAATTCTTGTTGATCGATAGCTAGGTGGTGCAGTGGACAGAGTGCTGGCCCTGGAGTCAGGAGGACTTGAGTTCAAATCTGACCTCAGACCAGACACTTGACACTTCCTAGCTATGTGACCTTGGGCAAGTCACTTAACCTCAATTGCCTAAATAAATAAATAAATGCTTGTTGTATTGGATTTCATCACCAGAATAATGATGAGGTCTGGAAAATTGCAATTCAAACTGCCTATATGGCACCAAAACAACTAATTAAAACAACAACAACAACAAACAACTGAGTCATCTACAGAGACCAAAAACTATTTGCTTTCCTGAATTCGACTAAAGAAAATATTTGTGTTCAAAATCATTTTGTGTGGAAATAAGAGCTAAGCCTATTTAAATGCAATATACTGTGCCTAAATGTTCCTCTCTGTAAGTTAAACATTGTAAGAAAGGAAAAACAATAGAAAATGCCCTCTGAGGCTAAGTGACGTTTAAAGTCAGTACCAGATTAATTTCAATTTGTATTCTCACGCTTACTTACCCAGAGGACCTCCCCCTGCCCCAAAGAGCTAACTAACTTGAAAGTGAATGGGAGATAAGAAAAGTTGAGAAAATGTATCCTCTCCCTCTTTGCAGAAGTGAGATATTATGAGAGAACAAATTTGCTCACATTCGTGTAGCAAGCAGGTTAACTAAGCCAGGAGGAGAATCTTAAGTTTCCTTATGTTTAAAGGCAAGAGATTTATTTATTTTTTTTCCTCCACAACACAACATGTGGCCTTGTACAGACCCATTTTTGAACTGAGGGATGTCTGTGAGACCCTGATCTTTGTTCCCCTCCCCCCCCAACAAACATTAGGTTTTATTATTGCTGCCTTCTGGCACTAGGGGTCTGATGCTATGCATCTTTCTCTGTCCTCCTTGTCTGTTTATTCATTTTCATTTCAATGCTCCAAAGAAGAAATTGATGATTGAGGATGCAGTTACCGATGCAGAGTGACAACTGAACTCCCCTTAAAACCAGATGGTCATGTCTGGATTTTTTATTTGGTTTTAAGACAGATTGTACACCCTGGAACACCACTGGAACCATTAACCATATGTCCTCGAAATCTGCAAACAACAAAGCATCTTGAATTTCTGTAATCATTATGTTTCTGAGTCCTGTGGGGCTGGGCCCCTTTGTAACAGTCCGGATGCAAACGGGCCAAACATTCAATCACCTTTGAGAGTTCATTGAGAGGGCAAATGATGGTATAATGGAGGGATAGGAACGAATAACCCATGAATGAAGAAAATGTCTTACAAGTCCAAAAATGGTGGGATATTGCCTCTATTGTCAGTCAACAAGAATTTATCAAGCATTAGATGCCAAGAGCTGTCAGACATAGTTCACGTGTTGAGTTTGTTGAACTCCCCCACTTCCTTTAAAAAAATTCTTTCTTACAGTGGATGGTTTCCTGAAGAGGGTATGGAGGAGGAATGTATTCAGAAATGAAAATGATGTAGAAACAAAAGATATCTATGAACAAGATAAATTAAAAAATAAAGGCAGCAGGAGAGATGAGAAGCTCAGGGATTCTAACACCTAGTAAAATGTGAGCTCCTTGAGAGCTGAGACTGTTTGACTTTTCTATTTGTATCCCCAACACTTAATGCAGGGCTTTGCACATAATAAGTGATTAATAAATGCTTTATTCATTCATTCATTCCCGTAAACAAAGTTTTCTTTAATATAGATGTGGCATGTGGACATGGAATCATAGATCAAGAGCTAAAAAAGGACTTCTCATGAAGCAATAAGCATTTATATAGCACCTACTATGTGCCAAGCACTGGGTCACACAACTATTAAGAGTCTGAGGTCAGATTTGAACTTAGGTCTTCCTGACTCTAGGCACAATGCTGTTATTCACTGTACCACCAATTGCCTCTAGTAAGGCTGAGGGATAGGGATAAGGGATAGAGGGGTGATAGAGGGAATTCCTGGGTGAGAAAACTCTCTTTACTAATGCAAGTTGTCACCTGATGTGCAATTTCTTCATGTTCTTGTTCGGTTGTTTTCAGTCATGTCTGACTCTTCCTGACCTCATTTGGGGTTTTCTTGGCATAGGTACTGGAGTGGATTGCCATTTCCTTCTCCAACTCATTTTATAGATGAGGAAACTGAGGCAAACAGGATTAAGTGACTTGCCCAGGGTCATACGGCTAGTAATGTCTGAGGCTATAAGACCTCAGGAAGATGACTCTGCCTGACTCCAGACCTGGAGCTCTATCCATTGTGCCACCTAGCTACCTCTGTGCAATTTATAGTCTTAGATAATTACCGAGAACACTGAGAGTTTGACATTTACCTAGGGTCACACAACCAGTACTTGGCAAAGACGGACCTTGAACCCAGGTATTCCTGACTCTGAGGGTGCCTCACTAACCTCCACTAGGACATGCTAAATCATTGGGAAATCTGCAATTCTGGAACCCAGGATCAAGGCCACGTGGAGAATGTTCCTTGATATTTATGTCCTTTTGATACGGTTGGTGGAGACCAGGAAAACTACTCCAAATATGTAATTAGTCTATTATCAAATAACATTAGGGAGACAGTAATCCAATAATTTCTCAAAATGCTTAAAGCCTCTCTTCATTTTTCATCATCATGGCAACCTCAAAGAACTCTTCCTTTGAGAAAATATTCTGAAAAGTTTAAGTTGTTGATAAACCAGATACTAATTGATTATTAGCTTACTTTGGAGGAAACACTAGTTCTAGCTCTCAACCGATGCTGGGCTTTGTGAGGGTGGTGGTGACATTTTTTTCTGTAAATAAATATAGAAAAGTGCAATGAAGTTTTATGGTACAGTGTATTTGGCCTCCAGATGTATTATATAATGTGGTCTAAACAGTTCATTAGAGGGATCCAAACTTTACAAGTTAATTAGCTCCCTGGAACACTTCAGGCTTGAAATCAGAAATAGATCAACATACATACTGCATAGTCTACTTACAGCACTTTAAGACGGAAAAGACCAGCGAATGCTCCCTCGGGGATGCCTGTCAGCCCATTTCCTGCGAGTCGCCTACAGGAATCAAAAGAGAGGGGAAGGGGGGATAGTCAATACATTTCTTTTCGTGTGGAATTAATTTCACCATTAACAAAAAAGCAACACAATTAGGTACAAACTACAGATGCCAGAAAAATTGTGGAGTTTTGTTTAGTTATTACGAATATTTTAAAGGAAAAAAAAATCCTGTACATTAACAAATTGTTGGCAGCTGGAATGCAAGAGGGGAAACACAGTTAATTACTAATTTCACTATAAATCAGCTTGATGACTTTCACTGTAGATCTAATTGTTGTTGTTTTGAATTCCAGGTGAGAGCTAGTACCATATAGTAAACTTCTAAAGTTGCCAATGGAAGAATGTGGCTGTCATTTATATATGTGTGTGTATGTATGTATATATGTATATACACACACAGATATGCATATACATATATATTCTGCTAGTGAAAGAATGTAGCTGCTCTCTCTCTCATCACACACACACACTCTAATATACATATACATATACATATACATATATATTATACACACATATCTGCCAGTAGAATAATGTGGCTACCATATATGTGTGTACACACAGGTACACACATATCTTTATATATCTGACAATGGAAGAATGTGGCACATATCTACACATGTACACACATGTATGTATGTATGTGTATATATAATACACACATATATATTTCTGCCAGTGGAAGAATGTAGCTGCTCTCTCTCTCTCTCATCATACACACACACACACACATACACATAATACACACGTATCTGCCAGTGGAATAATGTGGCCACCATATATGTGTGTACACACATGTACACACATATCTATATCTATATTTATATATCTGCCTGTGGAACAATGTGGCATATGTGTATGTCTGTATATATGTATGTCTATATGTGTGTATATGTGTACATATAAATGTATTATGGACTGATGATTTCATCAGTATGGGGGAGTTCCAGGCATGGAAACTCCTCCCACTGATCCAGATAAGCTACTCATTGATAAGTCAGTGTAACATTATATAGATGGAGTAGTAGAAGGGACCTCAGGGGTCACATAAGCCAGGTGTCAAACAGGTGAAACCCCCCACATGTCTAAATGCAGCTGAACCATATTAAAAAGTAGGTCAGATCTGTTTTTAACATGTTGATGTATTAATAAAAAAGAAACATAAACACCTGAGGCGTTCTAAGTCAATATGTAGCCTGAAAGGATTCTCAGGTATGGTTTAGTATCCCCTGTTTACATTTGAGTTTGATCCCATCTATCTGGGCAGCTAGGTGGTGCAGTGGATAGAGTGCCAGGAAAACCTGAGTTCAAATGTGGTCTTAGACACTTACTAGCTGTATGACCCTGAACAAGTCACTTCATCCTGATGGCCTCAGATTCCTCATCTGCAGAATGAGCTGGAGAAGGAAATGCCAAACTACTCTAGTATCTCCGTCAAGAAAATTCCAAATGGGGTCACAAAGAGTCAGACTTGACTGAAAAAAGTGAACAACAAAACCACTGATTTAGTCCAATCCCCTTAATTTACAAATGGTGAAACTGAAGACCAGAGAGGCAAAGTGCCTTTGTGTCCAAGGTCATGTAGGCAATCCATGGCAGAACCAAGATTGGAACCAAGGTTCTCTAATTCCAGACATGGTACTTTTTCCAGTTGCTGCATGTCTTAAAGTTGCCCAGGGCATTGAGAAGTTAAGTTTCTTGCCCATGGTCACTCATCTGGTATGTGTCAGAGGGCAGGATTTGAACCCAGGGTCTTTTCCTGATTCTGTCTGGAGAACATTTGGTCATATGTTCATGAAACTGGTGTGATGGCAGCCAAAGACAGTGTGGTGTAGTGGATAGGGGGCTGGATTTGGAATCAGAAAGTTGTTGTTCAGTTGCGTCTGACTCTTTGTGACCCTACTGGGGATTTTCTTGGCAGACACTGGAGTGGTTTGCCATTTCCTTCTCCAGCTCATTTTACAGATAAGGAAACTGAGGCAGACAGGTTAAGTGACTTGCGTAGGGTTACATAGCCAGTGTCTGAGGCCAGATTTGAACTAAAAAAGATGAGTCTTCTTGACTCCCAGCACTCTATCTGTCGCCACCTAGCTGCCCCTACATCAAGTCAACATGTAGTTCAGTTCACTAATTGACTCAAGTGATTTTGCAATTGAGGGTGTTGGATTTTTAGAAAAAAATGTCCACTAGGAAAAACCTTTCAAATAAATTCAAGAAACACTTAGTATTTCTTTTGAAAATAGCTTTCTTTTCCAATCATCTTCACTGGGCTTGTACTCTCCATCATGTTTTGATAGCTGACATGTTTGCCAAAATTTCCTTTCACTCTCAAATCTGGATTCATTTTTGCTAGGTCCTAAATGTTGTTTGTACCTTTGTTTTAAAGCTGAGTTCTGACTTTTGAAGCCTTGGATAGAATTCTTTTTGAGAAATAGAGAACAGCATTTAAAAAATCATATTTTGGCATTCTCCTGGATGTCTGGAGACATGCCACCTGAGCCTCAATCTCAGAGCCAAACAGAACAGTAATATGGAAGAGAGCTCTGATCAGTTGCTCCTCTGGGCCTTTGGAATCAATCTGAACATTTAATGGACTCCCTGGGCCACAGCAGGTCCCCTGGCTATACTAAATCTTATCTGTAAGTAGAGCTGTGAACATTCTGGAAAAGAAAATTAACAGGAAAAAATAAGAAAAAAAACCTCCCACCTTTTTTTGAGGAAAATATTTTTTCAAAACAGTAAGAATGGAAAGTTTGTAATCGTGATTATTTTTAGAATAATGGATCTGATGTTTGATAAGATATTCACATATCACTGCCTGGCCTCCTCTTTCCCAACATAATTTCTAAAAACTATACACTAGCTTTACATTTAGTAAAGCTATTTAACAGAAGCATTCATTCCACAGACGTTTATTAAGCACATATGTGTGTACAAATACTATGCTAGATAATAAGAAAATTTAAGATATCACCTCTGCCCTTACGAAAACAGTTTTAGCAGGGAGACAAGATGCCAACCAGATAACTGTAATGTATAATATTATATACAAAAGCTCTAAAACAAAGTACTATGTGAGATGAGAGGGAATATCATTACTCATGAAGGCAGGAATCAGACATAGCTTCATGGAGAGAGAAGGTGGCAAGCGAGTTGAGCATTAAATGCTAAGTTGGAATTCAGAAGCTAATGTTGGCAAAGTAGGGTTTTCCAAGCATAGGGAATAATTGAAGTAATAGCAAAGAGGAAAGCATAGGGCATGCACAAGGCACAGCTCAGAGTATTTCAATTTGAGTGGAGTGTGAAATGCATGAAGAGATTGGTGTGACATTGTGGAAAGCCTTGAATGACAGAAAAAAAACTTAACTTTTAGACAATAAAGAGTTTCTGAAGGTTATGGACCAGAGAATTGTATCAGATCACTTGAATTCCAAGCCTTCACTCTTTCAAAATGATCTCTAGGACTATACAATCAGATTCTGGGTCTGCAGCTTACTAACTGTTCAACTTTGGGTAAGCCATTTAATCTCTCTGGTCTCTGTTTCTTCATCTGTAAAATAAAGGTCAGATTAGGTTAGAAGATCTAAATAGACCTTGAAGGTGGATAGATTTCTGGGGGTTCTAAAATGGGAGAACATTGCATCTTTATTTTTACTAACATCTAACTGAAATTTAGCATTTCTTTCCATCATGGATATATGTAACAAAATCATCTCACACTTCAGCGAATTGACAAAGCGGTCCATGACACAAAAAAGGTTAAAAACTTCTTGAATAGGCCATCTCTTCCAGTTTGAAATCAATGAGTTAGTTGAGTTTAAGATTTTTAAATGATAAATTATTTAGAACATCAGATCCTTTGAATTCCTGAACTCTGGGTAAAATCAGCATAGTACGCCACCGAAATGGAGAAACAAGATGAATTCATACAGGGAACGTTTAATTTTCATAAAAGAAGGAAAGTTTTAATGGCTTCCCTGCTCGTGAACTTACTTTCACTGTCTTTTGATTTAGAGGTTGATAGATGTGCTACTGTCTTCCTCAAAATACTGGAAGGAGCGGACATAAACAGCAACATCCTTTTATTCTTGTGTAGGGGAATTGGTTTCTGAATACTCCCTCCCTCAACCCAGGATATAATCACAGAAAACAAAGAGCAGACATGTTATCTAACTGTATAAAGATGTGTATACCCTGTACCCCTTTGCTAAGTGTAAAGGAGTTTCCTTGATTGAATTGGCTGGATAATGATTGGTCGTGTCCCAGACAACCCCTTAAAAGGCTGAGTGTACCAGCCCTGCCATTAAGTCTGGATTGGGAGTAGCTTTGTGGAGTATGACATTTACATCTGTACTATAGGACAGGCCTGCGTAACATATGGCCCACTGGCAGTGCCTCCTTGGCCAGTCAGTGAAAAATGTAGGGTTCCCACTGTGCACTCCCTTGTTCGTCATGTGACCCGCAGCAACCAACCATCGTCAGTCTGTCTCTAGTCTAACCTATCTGTGGCCCAAAGAAGTTTAGCCTATTTTAATTCTGGCCCCTACCTACTGCCAAATGGTGCAGGTCTGCTGTAGGATGACGGCAGCAGATGGGAGGTGGGACAGTCTCTCCTCTCCACCTCAATTGGCCATGGTGTCATTCACCCAAAAGGAGACATTGCATCCAACAGAGAGCAGAGGCACACCATCTCATAAAAGCCATACAGTGGTAAAAATTTGGGGTTGGGAGTAGTTTTTAGGATTGTGACCTCTACCAGCAGAGAAAAAGCTGACCATGGACTCGAGAGAACTAACCCTGACAATTTTCAGGTGATCAGTGGAGAAGGGCAGGCCCTTAGGAGCCCAGCTGAGCAAACTACATGGGAAAGAAGTTGTATTCAGGAGAGAGCCATGTGAGTACTCCACAAGGAGAGAAAGGACATCAAGCCTGTTTAGTATCAGAAGCATGCATTATCTTGAAAACACATGCTCCTAAATGGGCATGTCACTACCATT